ACTACTGAGTTTGCTATCAAAATATAATATATCTTATAAATATTTTTATAAAATATAATAACATAATAAATATTTTTAACTATATATATGAAAAATATAACTACAAAATTAATTGCAAAAATTGGAGATACATGATAACGAGTGTATTAGAGAAATCCTTGGAATCAAATACTAAAAGATGTGCCTCTTACTTTTACAGATTGTTAAAGAATATTTACGACAATCTTTAAGACACGATAATGATGATAATAACAGCTATTATTGTTATATTACTCAGCTGAAACAGCTCGACGAGATGAAAGCCACTGCTATAAGTATGCAATTACATTGTAGTAAGTATGTAACTACGCCGGAAGTAAGCAATTTCGAGTCAAATTATGGAGTCAAACGAGTTCTCCATCTCTCGTCTACTATTTTCCATCCCTGGTCCCATCTCACTACCGCATCACCGCCATGGTAAAATGGTGATAGTTCGCAAATTCACGCTTCGAGGAAATCAATCGTTATGAAGATAGCATTCTCCCCTTCCCACTTGCATTACAACCATTTAACCGTGTTATTGTGAAATTTCGATTACTTTCTTCCCTGGGTGTGCAAATTCCATATACATATATCGTACGCAACTTGGAAAAAGTACTTTCGAACAAAAAATTGCAATGCGATTAATTTTGCAGAGTGTCAATGAGAAATTTTTCTAGTCAAAGAATATATATTTTTAAACATCTACAAAATACATTTATCGCGATTAAAGTCAAATTTTTTCCTATAACGTGAAATAATATTATATTTGCGAAGTTCGCTGATTGGAAATCACGCCAATCGAAGATTATATAAAATATGGACCGGTATTTTCATTGTTATTTTAAATTGTCATTTTAAAATCATCTTAAATATATCTTAAGATACTATAATATGAATCTGTGATTAATTTATGATCTTAAATATAAAAATCGTTGAAAATCAGCTTCCTAGCGTACTTAAAATAACAAATGCAAAGAGCCAAAACAGCCAAAAATATTGTTATCAGTTTTCGTTGAAAAATCCATTTTTCACAAGTAACTCTTCTCGCTCGCCGTAGCGACTGGTGGC